GGATTTTTGTTATGGAACAGTCTGAAGGTTTTGAAGATCTCCAGAGCTGGTATGATTCCTGACTCGGCCATTTAAAATGCTTAACTTTGGTCAATGCAATTTCTCTGATGCTAAGTTTTCACAAATATGTCATGGGGATAATATGAAAAACATCTTTCCCATTGAAAATTCAAGAAATTTAGTATAAAATTTCCATCATACAATTAGTAGGTTTAATTTTATTTATTTCAATTATTTGAATTCTGAGTCTCAAAAAGTGTGCAGATCAAAACTGAACGTCATGAGAGGATAGTTATTTTCCAGTTTTAAACTCATCTACATGCTCTCTATCATACGAAAGTTCAAATATATAAACTATAAAGTAAATCACTTATATTGATAATTAACAGAAAGGAAAGACTAAACTAAAACAAACAAACATATGTAAATATCTCTTCTAGGACTATGCAAATAAAAAAAATGCTAAGGAAAGTGTGAATGTATTCTTCAAAAAAACATCAATAATTTAGAGAGACATAACTTATATCTACCATATCAATGACAACTCTTCAATAGATCTTAAGAAAAGCTATTTCTTAAAAGCCATGACAGTATTTATATGATTATTTAGTGAATAACCTTCTGGCGTTCATTTTTCCATAGAAAAATCACTATAGTATACTTGGCAATGTTTCTATCTTCATAAGATAAATATCCCAATTATGTTGATGATTCAATCCTTAAACTTCTTCCTGAAATAAAGCAAAATGTAGCTTTTTTTTTTTTTTTTTGGAGAGGCTTTTGCTATAGGGCACATATGCTTGCCAGAAAGACAGAAAGACAGAAAGGAAGAAATCGCCCCCCCCCCCAGGGAGATGGCCACATCTCCATCCCTTTCTCCTCCATTCTCCTCTCAGAATCTCAGGCACACACACATGTGCACCCAGCGTGAGTTTAAGCCACGGGGTCTGGGACTTGAACCTTGGTCAATTACATGGGAGTCCAGGGACATAGCCATTACACCAACTGCTGGTCCCCAAAATGTAGCTTTTTAAAGGTAAGATTCTTCAGGGGAATATGTGTATATGAAGGGTAATATCTATATACATAAAGGGAAAAATGTACTTCAAACCTGAAGACATTAACAGTTAAAATTTTGGTTCATTTTTAGTTATTTTTTATTAATTAGAAAAAATCTGTAAATTAGAAAAAATAATAATCTACATGTCAAGCATTACTTATTGATATTTAGACACCTATTTTATTAGGGTGTCAAATACTTATACTGGTTATAATGTAAATACTTGTGTAATAATAATGCTATATCTTTATTTCGTCAAAAAAAGAAAAACAATTTTAGACTAAGGAAAATGTTACAGAGTTAAGTTTTTTTCTTTCAACCATACAGTGAGCTGTACACAGAATGAGATGTAAATAAGTAAAGAGGAAATTATATTTGGGCACTAGTCAAAAACTTACATATCCATAATGGCCAGGAAAGCCATATGAATGAATGAAGTGGCTGGTTCTGTTGGGGCATATGGTCAGATGGAGGATAAAAGTCTGGTTTTAAAGGAACCAGCTCCTGTTAGCTGCAGCAGAGGTTTGCCATGTAGGAAAGAAGTCTCACTGTCAACAGATCTAACTTTTCAATGAAAGCTTTATTATTAATAGAACTTTAAAAATATGTCTCCCTTGTTTAAAACTGACAACAAATAAAAATTATGAAATACAGAGAGGTCAGAAAAATACATGACCAAAAAACAGGTGTCTATGTGTGCATGTGTGTGTTTTCAGTTACAGAGGTGGGCTAGGTCAGGCAATGGTGTGCATGGACAAAAATAACACATCATGTAAAAAGAACATGTAGAATCCAAAGCCCAGATAGACTAGCTAGGCATAGCATTGGGAAGCCATACATACCTCAGAATGTCTGGGACCCTGAAGCCAGAGCAGAGAGTATGGGGAAGGAAATTATTGAGGTAAGGAAAGACAAATCTCCTGCTGCTATTAGCTGTGCCCAGTAATTTCAGTTTGATTCTCCGGACAAGGACTAGTCTCTGAAGAATATTAAACAGGAACAGGAAAACTGAATTTTCACATTTGCATCCATTCTGGCTGCAGAGTAGTGACTGTTTGGGAAAAGAAATGGGTAAAAATGTGGAATATTGCAGGATTGTTGCAGGATTCAGTGAGGATGAGTGAGATCATTTCCAGAGTATGGATCTGGATGTAGAAAGAAGATTGATCCAGATTTATCTGGAAGAGCAAATCCAGAGTACTGGATTGCAGAAAGAGGGTTGTGCGAGAGGAAGGGGAGAAGATAACTGTTGCATTTTTGCACAATGTTTAAGTTTCATAGAAGATTCACACCTCCAGCAACACTGCACATAGCAGCTAGTGTCAGCAGAGAAAGCAGAGACCTAAAATCAATCTGGGTCTCTGTGTGCATGTTTATGTGGCAGTGATGATGAAGCATCTTTCTAAAATTATTTTATCCCTCGTCTACATATTCCTCTCCATAAAGAACAATCTTATCTCTAGTTTTTCTCTTTTGTGAAAAATAGAAAACACTCAGGCAAAAACTGATATTTAGTCTATTGTGCAATTTAGTTCCTGGCTTGTGTCTCTGTTTTGTCTGCACCTGAAATTGAAACAATTCTCTTGTTTTGGGGCATTCTCTCCAAGCTAGGTATACTGCAAATTTCAGGGAATACATTATTGCCACAGAAGCCACCTCAGTCACCGTCTCCATTTATAAACTTGTTGTCTAAGTCGTACGTGAGAAAGTGCGCAATAGATCTTGCATTCTCTATCTCTGCTAGGAAAAAAAAACGACTCTAACAAGACATATAAGGAACAATTCAAATCCTCCATGAAAAATGGCTACAAAATAACAGAAACAAAATAAAACTTACATTGGACTGGGTAAATCTTCCCTTCCTGTTCTATACACTTTCTAGAAAAGAAATGATGACCCTTCTTCTCTGACCTGTTTTTGTTTTATAATTGATTTATCTTGTGGTTAAAAGGAGATTTACTCACGAAAATTGAGACAGACAGGAGAATGCAATTTGGGTTTGACCTCCTGGCTTGCTTGGGTGTCACTTACCAGAACTGAAAATACAACGGAATTTTATCATTACTTTGAAATGAGAGACTGGATTTAACTCCCAGGAATATTCTTTCTCAGTCTTCAGACACAGTCAATAAATGTCATACATACATTTACACATCTGACGACCTAGTATGATTTAGGAAGGCAGGCCCCACTCCCATGCCAGTCCTCCCACTACCCACATTTCTATTTTATTTTAGTTTAGTTTATTTTAGTTTAGTTTAGTTTAGTTTAGTTTAGTTTTTGCCTTCCCCTCATCCTATCTCAGACATCCCCAGGCCAAGATGACTGATATCAGATTTTTTTTTGAAAATCTGTCTATTCATTCTTTTAACATACAGCTTTGTTTCTTCGGCATCTGTATTCTCTATCCTAAGTAGGGCATTTGGAATTTCTATCTGATCCACTCTGAGGAGAATATATTTTTTACTGGCCATTGGCTGGACCAAGATTTAGTAAAGTTGTAAAACAGAGGGCTGAAAATGAATGAGGCTCAGACAGAAAATCCTGAAGCTACATAAAGAGAGGGAAATGCTCCTCTTGCCCTTGATGTTTCCTATCTGCCTTCTCCTCCTCTCCATTTATACTTTTGAAGGGCCTCGAAGGCCTGAGGGCATCCTCCATTCAGCTGTGTGTGTTCACTCAGGCTCAAGAATGTGAACTAAAATTTGGGTTCTTTCACTCAGGCTCAAGAATGTGAACTAAAATTGTGGTTAAGGGCAGGCTGCCCTTCTACCTTCTCTGCACATCTCCTGGAGTTTGCGGCTCCAAATAAATACCTGCCAATGGGACCTAGCTTAATTTTCTGGTTGCCTGTCTTTTAACAAACATTTTTCTGATACCAGAAGAATAGAATAATAGAATCTTAAATTTCCAAGGAGAAACATACACTTTGAAATCCTGAATCTTTCCTATTCTTGAGTAATTTGTAAGAGCATTTTAATATCTCTAAAACCATGAAGATGTACCTTCTGCAGTTGGGTTACAATCCTATTCTGTATTCCAGAAGGAAAATACATAAATTCCAAAGTCTAATTTGACGGTAAGCATTCATTTCAATCAGCACACATATAAAGGAACTTCAAAAGTTTGTGGGAAATCTAAATTAAAATATGAGTTTATTTTGGTGTCAAAATAACGGATTTTGGAAATCCATATATAGTTTCTTCATGGTACATGTTTTCCATGAGATTTTTGAAGACCCTTTGTATTTTAAGGATCTGGTTCTAGCCATTGTGAGGATTCAAGACAAGGGGGAAAGAAACAGCAATGATTGAGCATGTACTGTTTTCCTTGATTTATGATAAGCCTTATCATAAATATGTAAAGTAGATTTGTCCTTATTTTACAGATCAAAGTAGCTGTGGCTAGGGTGAATCTGTGATATACTTGGGTAACCAGCAAGTACAGAGTGATATGGACTTTAACTCTGCTTCTCTCTGGTCCTAAAGTCTTCCTTTTCCAACATATTGCACTGTGCTGCATAAGCATTAGGAAGTTTGGTGAAGTTTTCTACTTGATGCACCTACTAGCTTGTTTCTGATTTTACAGTCCCACTGTGCTTACCATTGCAGATGAAAGTATGCCACAGTTTGTGTCAAGATTTACTTTATTTTATTTGCAAGGAACATCATCATCTAAATTTCACTCTTAAAGCTGTGAAGTGCAAGAACAACAGTCTCTTTTTGGGGGGAGGGTGAATGGGGTGGAGCTTGGTAGAGAAAGGAGGTTTTTATTGTGGAAGGACATACTTTTTCCCCAGGCTTTTTGAACTCCTAAACTATCACTGCTAATCTTAAATGAAAGTTCAGCACGGCACAAGTTAACTGCTACCGATGTCAGTACGAATCTTGAACAGATTGAGTCCTATGATGCCTTACGATATTTTCCTTTTATTTTTTAGGGGGAACATCATCAAAACAGAAGGGCTTTCTGGGATGCATCCGCTCCTTACACTTGAATGGACAACAACTGGACCTGGAGGAGAGGGCAAAGGTCACTTCCGGAGTCAGACCAGGCTGTCCAGGACATTGCAGCAGCTATGGCAGCATTTGCCACAATGGGGGCAAGTGTGTGGAGAAGCATAGCGGCTACTTCTGTGATTGCACCAACTCACCATATGAAGGACCGTTCTGCAGAAAAGGTACATTTGGTACTCAAAATTCTCTTCATGCAGTGTTATAGCACCCACAGACAAAGGTCAAACCACATGGTATCCATGCCCTTCAACAGTCCTCATCATTTATTTTCCCTTGATTTGCCTCTGTTCAGAGACTCTGCATAGTCACTCTACATAATTACCGGTACTCATTATCACTGTGTGTAACGCCAGCATGCAATTGACCTGAATGTGTAAGTACAGGATGATGTGCTGACCATGGCCTTGGAGCTAGCTGAGCACTGGACACGATATCATTCCATTATGTTAGCTAGATTGTTGGTGACACACTAGTATTTTCAGTGCCAACTCTTCACTTCGTAAGTGTAATCAAGAGATGATATAATCTAGTGCTGAAGGCTCCTTAGAAGCACTTGAGTATCTTAAATTATGTTGACTACGAAGAGAATATGAGTAAATTCCTAAAAACAATAATATGTATCTAGTGAATTTTCTCTATTCTTCAGTGACCTAGGTCTGAGGCTTTGAAAACATGGCTTAGAAGTTCATAGTAGGTCATGATTGGACTAGCATTAGAAAAGTAAGAAATAACTGACCAAAGGGCTTTGTTCACACCACTTCCCAATCTTACGAATTTATGACATTGACAAAAGTTAATCATCATGATGACTATTCACTTTGGATAAGGAGTGATGGTCAGGGTGTAAATTCTCTAGATGAACTCGAGATACCTCCAGAAATTGTAATGTGTCATTATTTAGTGTAATAGTATTTTTAAAACATAAAAATAAAAATAATCGAGCTAGTATTAACCTTTGTAGTATTTTTAAGTTTATTTTATTGATAGAAAGTTTATTGAGCAAATAATGTAAACAGTATTTCAAGAACAGCATTTAAACTATTAAAATAAGCTGTTTTAATCATTCTGAGACATTGTATATATACAAACAATAATTACAATAATTAGTAATTTTTGTCAATTCATTAAACACATTTTCTAAGAACCTTTCTCAAGCAATGTTTTTATTAAGTCCAACTTACAGATGGAACTTAAAACAAAAGGAAAAAATAATCCAGTGTTTTCTTAGAAAAGCATATGATAATTTAAGCTCTTGACTCATTCGCACTGGCCTACTCCCTAGTTGGTTTGGTTTAAATTATTTGCTTATTATTGCTGGACGCATGTTATGCTCCTTCAAAGAATATTAATGGTATAGATATTAGGGACAATGGTATATTGGTCCTTTCATGGGAGCTTGAAATAAAAATAGTTCCCATCCCTGAAGGTTCTTTTTTAAAGGAAAATTTCAACTGTATTTATTTCTTCCATGAGTGAGAAATACAGAGAGATTGAAAGAGAGACAACACCCCCCAACAGGATGCTGACAACCCCATCCATCCCCAGCTTCAGCAAGCCCTGGATCATGGGCACGTGCATAATCTGTGTAATCGGGGAGA